GGTTCTCGATTGGAGGGGGGAGGGGGATGTTAGACATTGTTTCTTTTCACGTTAACGCGTTAGATCATGGTTTTGGGATATATAGGGTCTACTTTTCTTATGACAGATTTACACTTACAGTTTGCTTTTCTTGTTGGGTTTCTTTAAAGTTTTAGTCACCCTTCCCTTTGGCATTTGTGCTTATATATTACTACAGCAAGGAATTGAATTAGCGGCATCTTGCCGTATTGAAAGAGATCAGGATGAGAAAAAGATTAAGGCTGCTTTTTTGAACTGCCCGTGGTGCAAGTCAATTGCATAATTTTTAATACGTTTTAATAAGTTTCTTAAACATGTACAAATATTTCCTTTCTATTTGTGATCTCAAAGAGCTTTTCGGTATTTTCCCTTATCGTGCATGAGCGTACATAAACTACAAACCTACCTATATGCTCCTCCGTGGAACCATAGCATTACAGCTCTTGTCCTGTTGGCGACAGTGTCATTTTTCCACTAAAACAGAACAAAATAGTCCGTTGATGTGCATTGAAGTATTTAAAACTAGTTTCGCAATATATATAACCACCATAACATAATATATACCATTGAATGACATTGGGTGTACAGGCAGGATAAACCTGAAACAACCGATAAATTGATTTATACATATTGCTCGACTCCGTCTAGTGCCAATACAGAATTCTCAAGCACAATATATTCTGTATTGTACTTCAAATCATCCAATAACTTATATAGCTTTGTATATACAGGGTGATCACTAAGTTCTGGGAATTTATCTGTCATTTCATTATTTCTCAACCAATTTACTTGAAATTTTCAAGGTAAATGGGGAATGTAATTTTGGGTTGGATTAAACAGTCTCATAGTCATCTGATGTCACAATGAATAATTATTGTTACTATAGCAACATGACGAATGGCGTAGCGGGTCAAGTAAAATAAAAATGGATTCAAATTTTGCTTGATCCAAAACTATGGTTAATAAATACCTGTTTGGTGGACATATTTCTGTGATTTTTTATATTTTCAAATACTTCTAACTTTAGTTTGTAAAGTAACATCTTTATTGTTATGTAAGAGTGTACTTTGCTCTATTTTCGTACCATTCGTCAGCATCTCAAAGTCACAATCATGACTAAAAATAGCGGGGAGTTATCTTCCATTATGACTATGCTCCTTCCCATTACTCAAGCTGCCCATACTACTCTTGAAGAATTAGGGTTTACACAAGTTATTACTGCCCCGTATTCACCAGACAATAATCACCAGATGAAGCACTATTAGGCTTCACTACATTTTGGGTGCTAAAGCATTATATGAGAGGTCATAAGTTTGATTCCGTTTAGGGACTGATTTCAACGGCTTGAGCAAATCTTCAAGGGATACCAAAGGGTGGACTGGAACACATCTTTATGGACTAAGTTTGTCAACAACGCATGTGCGTCCAGGCTAATGGAAACAATCATAAATGAAATGATCCTCTCAGCAATGAAGAATACTTCTGAATAAATGACTTCAATAGTACTGTTCGCCTCCAGTACAAGTAGTTTGACGCAACCATCTAGGCAAGAAGAATATGTTTTGGCAGGAAATTTTCAAATTAACATCAGTCAAAATTTGCTGACCCGCGAACCAATTTTACTTTTTTTGTAATTACAATAAAATAAATTGTAGATGTGATATGTATATGAAACATTGCTTGTCAATTCAGAATTATACAATGTACACTTGCTGAAAATTTCAACTCAAATGGTTGAAAAATCTTGAAATGTCAGACCAATTCCCAGAACTTAATGATCACCCTGTATACTAAGTACTTAGTACTATAAAATACAGCATTTGTCTTGTACTGTTGTAAAATATTTACTCTAATTATGGGCTCTACCACCTGATAGAGCCCATGCTCTAATACAATATAAAAATGTCATCTCCTGCTTAATACATTTCAAGGGGTTACAAAAGTGTAACAATTTGTTACTGACGCCGACCTTAAACTGTCGACTGGAAACCTGTCACAAAAACACCGTGACTGTAACAATATGTATCCACGTCTTTGTGGTGACACATCAGTACATGATGACATGTCTGAGCGTCTGAGTGTTCCCTCACCTCTGGAGCGTAGATATTGAGGTACAGACAATCTTCGTCTGTTTTGTTGTACGATGAAGAAAAACTCCTGCAATTGTAAGCAAATCGAGTTCACAAAATATGCTGATGAGGGGACATTGGTTGTCATAATTTTAAGGATTCGTCACACCAGCAATGGTAGTTTTTATAGGTTGCTGTTTTACGTAGTTTTGATAATAATAGAGAGGTAATTAAGCATAGCATTTAAGATCGAACTTTCCGTTCACGGTTACTTGTGAAAAACATAACAAGCTTAAACTCTCTATCATTTAAAAACAAAACTGTAATGAACGTCGTTTGGAGGCATTAGGCCTAATATTGGCCCCTTTTGGTTGTAATGCTTGTAATGCTATATCAAGACCCTTATGAGAACGGTGATCAACACAAGTTTATAGTACCACGCACTTCCGTATTGTTGCCAACTTCTGTGGGCAAGCAGGTCCAAACTTCGTCGCATTAAACGTTGCGGGAGTCCAACGTTCAATGTCTTCAGGAGCTGAAAATCTCTTGTTTCCTATTGGTTTCTTCGCATATGGTATTCCAAGAAACACCTTCAGAGTTTGGTTGTGTTGAACTTCAAACACATATCCTTTAATATCCCCATAGTTAGATTTAACATGTATAAAATCTGCAATAGCTGGATATAAAACAGCGTTTATTAAAAGAAAGGTGTTTGTAGTTATCATTTTAGTAATTTTAATCTTTGAACAAGAATCTCTCGATCGAAGTTCACGTAGGAGTAACTGTAACTTAGTTTACACGTTTAATACTTTTCTAATCTGAGATGATACTCATCCAAGCAGATATTACTATTAAGGATGTCAAGTGGGATGATGTGACACGTTATCTCTTTGTATAATACTTTAATAAAAGCTTGTCGTAAGCATTAACCCCAAAGCAGGTACTGGGGTAAATTGATTTTTATCCCAGTGGTGATACTCATCCCATCATTTTTCATGCAGAAGTATGCGACAGTAGATAGGGGTATTTTGGTGATAATGATGGTCTAATTTTGGGAATCGATTTTCATCGAAAACTTTGAAATTATAGATTTTTGCACTTTCCTTTCAATGTAGATTTATTTTCTTTATGAAAAAATGTATACGTTAAATATCACAGAAAACAATAAATACAATTTTATTTCAATTATTTTCTTTATGCAATCATAAAGACTTTATAGAAATGAATTGCAGTGAACACCCTAATAGGATAGTTTCTAAATAGCAGAAAAATCAATGAAATCTCGTGCTGCCATCTTTTATTCAGCTTTTAACTCGGGCTAGAGCTCCATTCATTTACATGCTAAAATCTTGGAAAAGTGGCTTAATTTCATGATTTATCAAAGTGTGTTTGTTGAATCTGTATAAAACTTGAATGATATACCACATGATGACCCTGTTTATGTACATGTTGTGATTAAACATGCAAATGTTGATTGACATACAAATAATCCACGGATTTAAAGAATTTTAGCATTGCATCAATGGACATTTGGCCCAAGTTTTTTTAAATTGTTATAGAAAATTATTCAAATTACATAACTGTGTAAATCAAAGCTATTATAGGAGAAAACGTTTCACTGAATTCAATTATGCCATTTAAAAGAAGGTAATGTAAGTCATTAGAGGTCTAATATGCAAGTCTCTTAAAATCTCACGAAAAACGAGATTTAGCGAGATTTCAAAAGCTATATGGAAACTATACTATTGGGTGTATAAACCGGTTCAACATAACATTTATCTAAGTGCCCCTTTAACCATCTGCTATTTTCATGAAGCTGCAGTAATTGTTATTATACGTTATCTATTACGTTGAAGATAATTTGTAAGATTTTTAATTTGAAATGTTAGTCAGTCACAAGCAATATCCGACAGCTCGAATTATGGAGTGAGAATTCCAGAAGCACTCGTTGCCATAGCCTGCGCCCTCAAAACCAGATGTAAAAGGGTAGGTGGTCCTATCAAATTTTGGTCCTACTCTCTATTGATTTATATGGTTACCTAATTACAATTATTTATAGTCAGGGCCAGTAAGGGCCGTAAGGAAAGGGGACCATGATCCCCGGGGGACCATAATATCTTTTACACCGGGTTTGCCACTATCCAAATCCGCGTTTGGAAAAAAGCGAACGATTCGTTCGTGTTATTTTCGATAGTTTTCAAACCAGAATTTTGTTAGCTTTTATTAGAAGGGTTCCTCGTAATTAACTTTTAACTCCCATGGCGATGTTTCGGAATGGAGAGGGGCGTAGTCAACTTTCAGTCAGGGGATGTGATCAACAATTTTGTTTGACAATAATGTTACTTGTAACCTTGTCAAACGTTATTATTGTATTATTGTATGTATAGTATATATTTGAAATAAATGATTATTAAAAAAAAAAAATTTGTTTCGGTTTTCCGCGTGGGGGTTTAGGCTATATCTATGACGGATATGTTTTTTTACATTTAAAATTCTTTTTTATTTCTGATATTTTGAAATGATAGATATGTTGACTAGCACCGCTACGGACTTTTTACGAGATGTTTTGCGTTCATTAAAGTGGTGATAATTAAAGTGCCTTGTATAAACTAGATAATTAATTAATAATTAAAATAATTTTACACTATGTGCCTAGTGTAAAATTCTCCAATAAAAGAGCAAAAGCATAGCCACACATCCATGTTTTTATGATTATACAATGACATATTTGGGGGGGGGGGTGCAGCTTCGATTAAAGATTATTTTAAGAGTCATACAATCTATTTTAAAGAAACATGTATGAGTTCTATCCAAACCATAGGTACGCCAATTGCAATGGGGAAAAGGGTTGCCAAACTTATGGAGGGGAGTGTACAGAATCCACGCCATATTTATTACCCTAAACTTACAGCTTTTCATAGATTTTAATGATTTTCTAATATACTATTCAAATTCAGTTTCGATCGATGTGGATAGTTAAAGAATATGGCATCTTGTGACTGTCTAGCTAGAGTGTTCAATTAATTGACATTCTGCTTATCGTTTAATGACTGCTTATCATTTATTAACAGCCAATATTCACATCGATTCTCTCTTATGTTTATTCGGATCCTTTTCATCTTTACTTTTGGGTCCAATGCTTTGATTTCCAATACAAAAAGTGCGCAACTCGAACTTGAGTTCATCTAGTTAGCACACATCTCTATACATTGTGATTGGGCCGACTGGGTCGATACGATAGGTGTCGATACGAAAGAGCTGAACCTATAGCTATAGTGACGATAGGTGGTGCTTGCATTTGTTTTCCGAGATGGTCTTTTTTGTTCCATTGTGACAATGCTTCTGAAAAAATCTAAAACTGTTTTCCTGAACGGCATGTTAATTGAATAGTAGAGAATGAAATTCACTGTGAAGTTTAAACTTTGCATAAAGTTTGTGATAATAGTTGCGATTTCAAAAATGGGACTCGTGGACGAATCTTCACGAAAAATGTTTATCAACTTGAGAAGTTCAGCGGGGAATACTAAGAGCAAAAATATTATAGCGATTGCTATGAGAATGTGCGTCAAGCGATTGCTCGATGACGTCACTGATCTGTTACCATGACAATCAGGCATTCTGAATGATTTTCTTAATGTCTTTATCAAACAAACATTACTGATGATTAGAAGGATAAATGGGATGACGGCTCCGATTAGGCTCCATAACAGTTTATATACAAGAAACCCCTGTTTGTAATCAGGATCGTATAATACACCCATATCTGCCATATACATTCCTTTTGATATTGTTCCATAGTTGCTGATCTTTAATGTCCAATATCTGGGAAGGGCGAATATGGCTGATATGACATAAACTAAGATTAATGTGACCTTGACCTTTGTCAAGGTCATGCAACTACGTGCCCTCAAAGGAAAGAGTGCGACCGTGGCTCGACTAACGGCCATAACTACAGTTAACGCTGTTGAGGAGAGTATGAACATATTGATGATCCCAGAATGGTACACTCTGTAGTAAAGCATGAAGCATTCTGTGTCGTAGATAATAGTTCGGTGCATAAAGCCAAGAGGAAATTCAGCCACACAGAATAGAAAATCCGAAACTGCCAAAGCAATAAGGAAAATATGTCCCGACTTTTCCATTTCATCCATTTTAGCTTGCAGTCGTTTTCGGGTCAGAATTATCATATTAAGTAGATTACCCAATATTCCCAGTGATAATACTATCGGCAAAGCAATCGTTTCCACCCAATACCTTACAGGCGTGGCAGAGCTTTCCCAATTGGCATCTTCTCCATAATCGGTCATATTTTCCAAATGCGACGTGACCATATCATGTTCATAAAATTCCTCGAACGTCTCATTCATTCTGCTGTAATATATTCTAATAATTAATCTGATTTCCTAAAACGTCTTGGTCAAATGCAATTATGATTACGTTTTGTCTGTTGTCAAACAAAAACAAAATTTGATACGCCCTTGGAGACTTTGTGTTTACTAGTATTCCATTGTACTTTGCATCTTCAGCGTGAGCACTATTAAATTGTGAACTTTGTTGTCGATGTGCTAATAATCTGTTTAATGGTTGGGCCGTCTCGGTTTAACGGCAACTCGCTCGAAGTATCTGAAAAATTAAACAAACGATATATTTTATACAAGTAGGCTACGTGATGCGTCTATGTCACATGTGTGCCTATGAAATTGAAACTTACTCCGTGATCTTAAAATTAAAACACAACCCACGTCTATTATTCTTCCGATTAACAACATAGTGACATGTAATCAGAGATTGGGGGTGTGATGAGGTATATCTAAAAATGCTCAGAGATCAGTATGTGGAATTATCCACTATTTAAAAAAAATACATTTCATTGAAGGTTCGTCTTATATAAGGGCTAGCGTGTAATTTCGCTTATATGATAATGGAATTGAATTCTTTGTCTTGCATCCGATGTGTTAATACATGGTACATACAACACAATCAAACATAAAGCTTGAACCTGAAAACTCGAAAACGCGCTATTAATGTTGTGCTTTGGAAATTAAGGTCAAAAGCTCGTTACACCAATATATGAATAGACCAAAACCTAGTAACAGCAATAATAGGCCAAAAGCTAGTTACAGCAATATAATGATAGGTCAAAATCTAGTTACAGCAAAACAATGTCAAAAGGCTAGTTACAGCAATGTAAGGATAAGTCCAAAACTTGGTTCAATTCAGAAAAATATGACTATGTCTAAAATTAACCAAAACATGAACAGGTCAAAAGCTAGAAAGGTAGGCACATATCTAAAGCACCCTGGAGCACAACCAACATACTACTAGTCGTGCGAGTCTCACCTGTTGGTTATACACACTCAACTATGTAACACATATATACGTCAATTCCCATCTGTCAATAGGCTCAATAGCTCATATTCTGCAAACTTCTACACCAAATTAAATATTTTACTTTAATTTTGATCAACATTAACCTTCTAAATCGTTTTAAAAGGAAAAAATTACAAAAACATAAACTAGTCCAGCTATAGGCTTAGCAGCGCCCTCTGGCGTAAAACAAAAACATCAGCAAATTAATTTTAGTATCAATGGAAAGAATTATTTATTTCCACCTCTCAATCGACCATACTACATCTTTCGATGGTTTCCCATACCTCTGATGCCAGCCAGATCCTTTTACCAACCACGTTACTTTCTCATTGCGTGCATGTCCGTAGGACTTCGTTCGTTCTAAAGATCAGTCTGGAGGCCGACGTTATATACAGTCAAGTATATTCGATACGCTTTTTATAATGTTTCATGGAATTCTTGGAATAGTCTATATGCTTTAAAATCACAACTTCACATTCATGTACTCCGATGACTAGTGGAGCCGATGATTCCGGCCTCTTGTCGACATTCAAACTCGGAAACTGTTTGGTAAGAACTACATTTAGTACAATAGTACATACTACTTGTAATCTAGTATATCGTCGTACTTGTTTATCGTATCAATCATTAGATCGAGTTTGATCGTGGACATCGATCATTTACTGCATCTGATATCAAACAAGCGAACTAAGTGATATGTATTTCATTTTCTAATGAGCTGTCTCAATTTATGATTAACGCCAATAGTTAATGTAAAAGTAAATTAAATTAGCATTAGCAGATGATACTTTCCTACAGATGCTTTCGATTTGGAACAATTGTAATCAATAAACATGCTTATTTTCCAAAGAAACAGCTTTAAAAGAATATAAATCCAATCAACAACAGTCAGGATTAACAGACACGATGCTGCACATAACGATCAGATAATTGCAAGTGAAACATAAAAACACAAAATCTTGATTCGCTTGCGGTATTCGTACTTTATCTTTCGACATGCTTGTCAATGTTTCCTTATATTCTTTATTTGTAATCTGAAAATGAATTGTGATATCTCATCATCAATATCTACAACTATTTTTGATGTTATGAGTATTGGCTATCATTTTTTTCAATTTTTCTTCAACATGTATTGTAATGACTTCAGTATGAATGTCCCTTGGTGTTCTGGTCCTGGATTGTGATATTGGTTCTCGATTGGAGGGGGATGTTAGACATTGTTTCTTCTCACGTTAGATCATGGTTTTGGGATACATATGGTCTACTTTTCTTATTAGGACAGATTTACACTTACAGTTTGCTTTTCTTGTTGGGTTTCTTTAAAGTTTTTAGTCACACTTCCCTTTAAATTGGCATTTGCGCTTATACTTGTATATCTCATGAAATATACAAGTGCCTGATATCTGTTTCAAGGGTTCACTTTTTGGACCACCGTGTACATGTACAGTAGTCAACAAGATCCTGACAAACAATCTAAACAGTCATTACAAAGCTGCGATCTGAAAGTCGTTGACTGGAAAAATTAAGTCAATATGACCCCATAAAATAAGAGAGGCAGGTGTCATTTGATTCACGATAAATTAGATCTTACTTCCCCCTTTTTCCGGCGGAAAATTTATGATATATTTTAATCCCAGCTTTTGAGAAAACAAAGTTTAGAATTCTGCTACCAACTGATAACAACCTCATTAGATTTTACTTACGTTAAAACTTCTTCTCAGGTATCGCGCTCAGAATAATCAAATGTAGTTTACAGACACCGTACCTTTTAACAATATGGGATTAATATTCAAGTCACATCTTTATCAGTAACATTGTCACCATATTTGTTTTTGATGGATTTTGATGAAAAAATCATAAGATAGAAGATACAGTGAGTTATTTGTATTTTTTTTAGATAAACATATCATGCTCATTCTGATTTATACGAGTCTCTCTAGATCTTTATCTAAAGTAGTCAGGATTTGCTAAGAGCGGTTCCCTTAGCTAAGGAGAGGTTTAAAAACGGCCCAAATCACTTGAAAAGTGCTCAGAATGGTGACAACTGCATGTTTTGAAAGAATTTTTGAAGGGGGGGGAGGGCTTCAAACCCCATGGCTACGGGTCTGTCTTGAGATGTTCAAAGGGATAGTAGAGACTGTGAATCTATCGATATTAGACATTGAAATTTAAATTCAGTGAAAAGTTCATGAAGAAAATACAATGTGAAACGATTGATTCGGGGAAAATTAGTTACATTACGGAATATTTATTCAGTGAAAGACTCACAAAAAGTGCATTTTGTAAATCAATAAAAACTGAATTGTTTGATGTTTTGAGCAGAAAGCTTTATACAAATACTACATATTACGTTTTTGTCTTTATCCCGAAGAAGCCATCAATATTTTAATTGTTTGATTAGTGCCTTTTGAGGCTTTATTTCATCCAACGGGTTTCAATAAGGGAGTTACTATAGAGCTGAATAGATAGATGTCACCACTCGTTTTTATTTGTTTTGGTTGGACAAGACCCATGGGCAAGACCGCCATAATTAAAACTTGCAATAATCACTTAATTTCAAAAGGTGTTGGTTAAATCTGTCTAAAACTTGAATGGCATACTATGGATGACCCTGTTGTAGCCTGGTTGTCGAACGAATAAACCAAAGGGTTTTTAAGAATTATAACATTGCATGAAGATTTGACCCACACTTTATCAGATAGAAAAGTTGAAAAGTCATGGAAAATACCGAAATCACATAACTGTATTATAAATTAAAGTTACAAGTTAATTGGTTTCGATTATCGTTTAATAATAGAAAAACATGGTATGAGTGATGTACGCACTGGCGGATTAGGGGGGGGGGGGGAGGCTGGGGGCCCGCCCCCCCCCCCTTGGGTGGGCCCAGAAAAAAAAATTGGGCCCAAAAAAACTTTTGGTCCAAAAAAAGGCCTTTCAGGCCCCAAAAAGTGGGCCTTTTTGGTCATTACTGCGCCTTTTAAGGCCTTATTTTTTAATTTCAGGCCAAATTTTGAAGAGAATGGGCCTCAAAATTTCAAAATTTCCACGCAAGCGCGGACATTTTTTTCACTGACTTGAAATTTGCCCCCCCCCCCTTGTTGATTCCCAGATCCGCCCCTGATGTACAGTACGTTAGTGGAAGGGTAATAATGGCATATATTATTTTTCGCATGAATAAAAAATTTGAAAAAAATGTAGAACACTTTTCATTGAATTCAAATATGCTATTAAAAAGAAAGAGTATAAGTCATTAGAGGTTAATATGCCTTAAAATCTAACGAAAGAACGAGAATTGGCATAAGAAACGACATTTTATATTTTATTTGAGTCGTTTATTTTCTTCATTTTCAGGTAATGGGATATAAAAATCGTTTAAAGACTCCTTTAGTAATAAGGAACACTTGTTTTCGATTATGAAATCATTTTGCCACTTGACCGAGATATAGTGTACTTAACTTCAATATAACATCATACCATGATGTCATGTCACTTCGATGGCATAACTCTTTTTTGAAATTATATATTTCTTGTGACAAATCTTTTGTAAATATGCTAAATTTTATACTGTTTAAACATAAATAACATATCATTTAGCTAGATAAGTAAATTCGATGGCGTGTAGATGTCACAAGGATTAAAAATCAATGTTCACCATATCATTTTTACGCGTTGTAACGTGACAGCTGGTAGTTCTAATTACACCGCAACAATATGGTTATCCAATTAATTAATATAAACCTTGATCTTGAGAATAGATGTTCTAAATCAGCTGATTTGATTAGTCACGGATACTTCGCAATAGTTCGATTCAATGAGTCTAGAATCGCTTAAACATCTTGGAAATCGATTTGCATTTAGTGGTTGCTGGTGGGTTAAAAAAGCATAACTGACACTTACCTCGTTTATCGTATCGATTCGACCCCGTGTATGCAAACATTGCGAACAAATTGGTTGACATAACATACTAACAATATATAATTTCAAAGGGATTATACATGTCTTTGTATTAAATGGATTAAAGGATCATGCTCCAGTATTGTGTTACTTTATGGACAATATAATAACATCATTACATTTATTCAGCTGAACAAATTCATAAAGCTTTGTATCATCATCTGAAGCATTGAACTTAATAGTAAGCCTACGATTATTTTCTAATTAACATATCCAGGATTTAGGCATTAATACCAGATTATATTGTCAATTTTGAAGTATGCAAAAATACATTAACATGAGACATTGACATGAGATCTAGACA